GTTCTGTACCGATGAGAATTATCACTGCCGGGGAGGAGGGGTTCTTCGTGCATCTCGTGAATTACAGTGTAGGAGACTTTCAAAGCATCCTTCATACTTCTTCCACTAAGACCCATCGTGTTACAAATAAAAGACAAAATAAGTGTCAGTGGAAATGAGCACAGACGCGGATGAACAAGCATTCAAACACTTTTGCATGGGCGTCGGTTTGACAGTCTTCAGAAAGTAGACTTCACTCATCACACTGGTGAGTCGCCGAAACGCCCACCTGGCTATCAAATGCAGGCTGGCTGCGGTCTGCATTGCAGCATTTATTCATATACTATATTCGCCAATGAGTGTTTGTTATTGGGTTTTGTCCCTAACGTATTTTTATATTATTTTAACTGTGGACCCAGCACAGTGATGCCTTAAAATGGCAAAGTGTAAATAATCACTTTTCGCCCTCGTCAAGCATAAAACAACGGTTGGTCTTAAAGTAGAATATGCTAAAGAATGGTGGATCACCGGCCTTTAACGCGAGACGCTTCGATCACTAGCTGAACAGTTTAAAAACTACTAATTGCACCTCCCAGTGAACATTGTACTGCTTGGGAGTCTAGTCGTCATGTTACTTACTTATTGAGGCTATCTTACATCAGACTGGAAAACGACTTAGGAAACCGACTGTGCCGGTAATGCCCGACAGTTAAGAAGGCCAATTAGTTTATACAGAATAGGATTGCTACAAGCAGGCTCAAAAGCTCATATTGACAGATCCTGCAGCTTCATCCACAGTACAGAGAACGGACAATACCTTCCTCACTGAAAATCGGTGCCGTCATCTGTTCAGACTTCTAGAAACTCATTTTAAGAATGGGGGGTTTCATTAATGCTTAATGTTTTCAAGGCGGAAATTACTCGTTCATGGTACTGTCGATTTCCTTTATGCTAACTGTCAATGTGCGCTTTCGACAGGTGGCCTACTTTAACATGTTTTATTTGATTTCAATATTCCATAGTACATTATGAAGCCTACTTGGACTAACCAGAGTTGCTTCTGAAAATGAACTAATTGATGTTACCTACGTCGCGCTCATTAACATGGACAAAGAGTGCATGTGATTTACTTACGCACAGTAGTGTGGGATGTTTTTACCTCCGATTTTCGGCGTAGTCTAGAAGTCTGAGTGCTTAACACCCTTGATAGTGGCTTACCTGAAGAGAATGACCACAAATACATCTCCCGGTTCATTGGCAGTTTGCAATGTGTCTTTCCTACTATCTGGCCGTATGCGGACAGGAGCTGAAGCAGTTTCTACTGGCGTGCGACGATAAACGTTAGGATAATGACGTAGGAATCTTCGAGGTGCTCAAACCTATTGGGAAGAACACAACAACCCCAGTTCTATTATTTATTCTCCATCGTTTTTCCACATCGACTTTCTCGCTGACTGCTATCTTTAAACACGACAGAGAGCACCTGAGCGAATTCTGAGGACGTTATCTAGGCTCGAACTCGCGATCTTTTTGATTAATATCTGCAGATCTAAATCGATACGACAATGAGCTCGTGGCTCAATGGTTAGAATGTTAGACTTCTGATCAAGGTCGCGAGTTCGAGGCTCGGTGGTGCACCACTTGGGTTGGGTATGACTGGCTGGAGACGGCAAATAAGCCAGAAATGGCTCCCTTGTCTTTGCTGGCAATACTCTTTGCTTAGACTACTAGCCGCCGTGCGACTGCTGTCAGGACGCGAGAATGAGACCCAAAGCAGAGCGGGACGAGCGATTTCCGTTAGCGATTGGTAAACTTTAATCAACGAAAGTTATTTATCCGATAGGCTATCACCGAGAATATCTGGTTTGCACAGGTCGAGTTTGTGACAGTTAAAAGTGGAGTTTTCACTGCCTCCTGTTACTACTGCCGTATGCTGTTAACTGTTTGTCCCTCAGTGTGAGACAGAAGCAAAGTAAGTCCGTATCATGAAATAGTCTAGTGATATGGCACACTTCTGCACTCCCCATTCGTAGTCTCAGGATATTTTTTACGCACGCCAAGAACGGTTGTCACGCAGAATTATACTTTAAGACTTGGTGCTTCGGTCCTCCGGTGTCACAGCCGCTGTGGTCTGCGTCCCGACAACCTAAAGGTCAAGCTGCGCACAAGCACACCCTTGTACCGCCATGCGGGAATGAGATGACAGGCGGAAGAGCACGATACGCTAAAGAGCTAAGCGCT